TCCCTAATCATTTTTGAAAATGTAACTTAGGCTCTTAACCATGTAGGCTACTTCCACAAGTTTTAGCCAAAGCAACTTAAGCTCTTAAATCTCATTCTGGTTTAGTCCTAGTTGCAGAGTCTAATTACTAGGGATAGCAGACCTACCTATTTGGAGGCATGAAGGGGTCCAATTTCTGAAGACCTGCTTACTGTATTTCAGGGCCCTGATTCATGCCTAGAGCAGGTTCATTCATGGCATGAACGATCTATGGGTCCTATTGCAACTGTGCAGTTGTGTAGTGACTGCATTATTATGTCTGTACATAAGAATAAATTTAGATTTTACAGGAAGCCAAACTTCGTAGCGTGTGAGTGTGTGTGAGAGAGAGAGATGTATATAATTGTTCTTTTTTTTGTGTGTGTAGGTATAAGTACCTGATTGCTGTTAATCTCTTTTCACTTCATAGGTGTTAACCCTTTTGAATGGGCTTGATCTGCCACTAAGCAAGCTCTTTCTTCTACAATTTTCTTGGTTATTAACTATTCCCAGTAATGTCTGTCTTCTCCTGTTTCACAGCCCAGCAGACTGCTTTTATTTAGTTATATAACCTTACACAGACCTTAGTTCAAGCTGTGCCTTAGTTCAAGCTGTGCTACCCTCCCCCCCCCCCTTATTATGGTACAACCTGATAAGATTGATCACCTAGTAAAAGGATCACCTGACAGAGGGAACTGGAAGTTATACAGGAAAAGCTTGTTCACTTGGTATATGTATGCACGATGATAGCTAATGTTAGCAATTGTAGCAGAGATGTGTGCTTTTTTATTTGAAAGATAAGCTATGTTTTAAAGGGTGCTCTTGGGGTGAAGTAACTCTTAGAGGTAGGGTTCTTTCCTTCCTATGGCCTAAAGTGTAAAATGTAACTTCATTCTTGGCCACCTAATAGGACTTGGCCTAAATAAAAAAGTAGTGATAAGCTGAGGCAGAGAACGTTGGATAGGGACTTCTTTTGTTTTTAATGGGATCTGTCTGCCTCTTGTGCTAATTGAGTAAAGAGCAAGATGTCAGAAACAGACACTTTTGTGAAGTCTGTGTGGTATCTGCTTTAGCTGTTTCCTAGGGAAGTGAATGTAAGTGCCAAGGCACTGGCAGACTATCAATGTGTTGGTCCAGGAGGCTTGAACTGTTGAGGTTTCTTGCAAGGAGGAGGTGTCAGTGCAGGTCCTGAGAACCTTAAACAACCAGAGCATGTGGTTCTGCCTATTGATGTCTGTGCATGGGAGATGTGCAAAAGATGCCTAGGAAAGAGAAAATGCTATGCCAAGGAAAAGAAATTTAAGAGTACATGCATGGCTCATGGAAACCAAGCTTAGCAGCTGGGTAAGTGCTGAAAAGGGGGAGCTTAACTAGGGTTGTTATGACATTTCAAACGGTAGGGGAACAAAAACCTGGAAAAAAATTTTGGTGTATATTGGCCTCCTATCCTTTTCATGAATCCTCCTTTTCCAGCTGTATAAATTATGGATTTCAAGTTCCTGATGCATTCACTTGGCCCCTGAAAGAGCTTGAAAGAAGAAGAATCCTTGAGAGGCAATTCAGAAGGCAGCTGTGTAATGTTGCTGGTTGGAGTGACGAAAACTGGCAAAAGCTGTGGTTCACCTGGTTGTTTGGAAGTTTCACACAACTCAGCTTCTATCTAAATCATTCTGCTCTTGGCTAAGCAAGGTTCTTTCCTAAAGCACTCATGAAGATGCCACAAGGAGTGCCTGGGCAGAGTGAACAAGCGTTTTGTTGTACAGTATCACTAGATGCTTACAAGTAGCCAGCAGGTCAAATAAAAGCATTAGCTGTCTGGCAAGGCTCTCTCTCTCTCTCTCTCTCTCTCTCCTTGTGAATCTAGCAAGGAAGGCTTGTGCAACTTGCAAATTTTCCTTCATAAGTGTGAGAAAAGGGAAGAAGTAGTCAGTGTCAAAAGGGCATTTGGAGATACACTTTGCCCCCCTGGAGTATGTTGTGGCATTGAGCAGTGTGATACTCGTGGG